TCCATCAGGCTCAGCGACGGCCGATCCCCCCAGCGTTTTCCGGGCGATTCCCAGCTCCGTGGCCTGAACCCCCTGTTCTTGTGTGTCCGTGTGTGTCCGTGTGTCTGTGTCCCCCATGTCCGTGTGTCCCCCCCCGACCCCCCCCAGGGCCTTCTTCTGGCTGGTGTCCCTGCTCCTGGCCTCCCTGGTGTGGTTCGTGTCGGTGCAGCTCAGTGACCGGGAGGACGCTCGTCTGCAGCGCGGGCTCCTCCTCTTCGGGGCCTCCGTCTCCGTCCTGCTGCAGGAGACCTTCCGATTCGCCTACTTCAAGCTGCTCAAGTAAGAGCCAGGGCCCTGGAATGATTTTGGGGTGGAAATGGGATGTGGTACATGGGACATGGGATGCGGGACACAGGACACGGGATGGTATGTGGGACGCAGGACATGGGACATGGGATGTGGGATACGAGACACGGGATGTGGGACATGGGATGCAGGACTTGAGACACAGACATGGGATGCAGGACGTGGGACACAGGATGCAGGACGTGGGACATGGGATGCGGAACATGGGATGGACATAGGACACAGGATGAAGGACATGGGACATGGGATGCAGGACATGGGACACGGGACGTGGGACACATGATGCAGGACGTGGGACATGGGATGTGGGATGCGGAACATGGGATGGACGTGGGACACAGGATGCAGGACACGGGCCGTGGTACATGGGACATGGGATGTGGGATGGATGTGGGACACGGGATGCGGGATGTGGGAACTGGGGAGCCCACAACTGGTCCCAGTGCTCCAGCTGGGGCCTCCCCAGGGCAGAGCAGAGGGGCAGGATGACCTCCCTTGAGGTTCTCCACGCTCTTCCTGATGCCCCCCAGGATGCCATTGGCCTCCTTGGCCACCAGGGCCCATTGCTGGCTCCTGGGCACCCTGTTGTCCCCCAGGACTCCAAGGTCACCCCCAACCTGTCCTGGTTTTGGGGGGTTCTTCCTCCCCAGGGGCAGCACCCAACACTTGCCCTGGTTGAACTCCATCAGGTTCTTCTCCCCTCAGGATGCAGGACATGGGACATGGGATGTGGTGCATGGGACACGGGACATGGGATGGACACAGGACACGGGATGCAGGACACGGGATGCAGGATGTGGGATGCAGGATGTGGGATGCGGAACATGGGATGGACGTGGGACACAGGATGCAGGACACGGGATGTGGTACATGGGACATGGGACGTGGGACACAGGATGCAGGAGGTGGGACATGGGATGTGGGATGCGGGACACGGGATGTGGGACGTGGAACACGGGACATGGGATGTGAGATGAACATGGGATGTGGTACATGGGACACGGGATGCGGGACACAGGACACGGGATGGTATGTGGGACGCAGGACATGGGACATGGGATGTGGGATACGAGACACGGGATGTGGGACATGGGATGCAGGACTTGAGACACAGACATGGGATGCAGGACATGGGACACAGGATGCAGGACGTGGGACATGGGATGCGGAACATGGGATGGACATTGGACACAGGATGCAGGACATGGGACGTGGGACACAGGATGCAGGACATGGGACATGGGATGTGGGATGCGGAACATGGGATGGACATTGGACACAGGATGAAGGACACGGGACGTGGGATGTGGGACGTGGGACACAGGATGAAGGACGTGGGACACGGGATGTGGGATGGACGTGGGACACAGGATGCGGGACACGGGACGTGGGATGTGGTTTGTGGGACATGGGACACGGGACATGGGATGTGGGATGCAGGACGTGGGACATGGGACAGGGGATGCGGGACACAGGATGGACGTGGGACACGGGATGCAGGACGTGGGACGTGGGACACGGGATGCAGGACATGGGACATGGGACACGGGATGTGGGATATGGGACATGGTACACAGGACATGGGATATGGGGTGTGGGACACGGGATGTGGTGCATGGGACAGGATGCAGGACGTGGGACATGGGATGCAGGACACAGGAGATGCGGGACATGGTACATGGGATGCAGGACACGGGATGTGGTACATGGGACACGGGATGTGGGACACAAGATGCAGGAGGTGGGACATGGGACACGGGATGTGGGACACGGGTTGTGGGACGTGGAACACGGGACATGGGATGTGAGATGAACATGGGATGTGGTACATGGGACATGGGATGCGGGACACAGGACACGGGATGGTATGTGGGACGCAGGACATGGGACATGGGATGTGGGATACGAGACACGGGATGTGGGACATGGGATGCAGGACTTGAGACACAGACATGGGATGCAGGACGTGGGACACAGGATGCAGGACGTGGGACATGGGATGCGGAACATGGGATGGACATAGGACACAGGATGAAGGACATGGGACATGGGATGCAGGACATGGGACACGGGACGTGGGACACATGATGCAGGACGTGGGACATGGGATGTGGGATGCGGAACATGGGATGGACGTGGGACACAGGATGCAGGACATGGGACATGGGATGTGGAATGCGGAACATGGGGTGGACATGGGACACAGGATGCAGGACATGGGACATGGGATGTGGAATGCGGAACATGGGGTGGACATGGGACACAGTATGCAGGACACGGGTTGTGGGACATGGGATGCAGGACACAGGACGGGATGTGGGATGCAGGACACGGGATGTGGGACACGGGATGTGGGACATGGGATGTGGGACATGGGATGCAGGACTTGAGACAGAGGATGTGGGACGCAGGACACAGGACATGGGACACGGGACATGGGACATAGGATGCAGGATGTGGGACACGGGACAGGCGATGCAGGACGTGGTACATGGGATGCAGGACATGGGACATGGTACACAGGACATGGGATATGGGATGTGGGACACAGGATGCAGGACATGGGACATGGCATGTGGGATGCGGAACATGGGATGGACGCAGGACATGGGACGCAGGACATGGGATATGGGACACGGGACATGGGACACAGGATGCAGGACATGGGACATGGGATGTGGGATGCGAGATGGACGTGGGACATGGGACGTGGGATGCAAGACACAGGATGCAGGACATGGGACATGGGATGTGGGATCTGAGACATGGGATGTGGGACATGGGATGCAGGACTTGAGACACAGGATGTGGGACGCAGGACACGGGATGTGGGACACAGGATGCAGGACATGGGACATGGTACACAGGACGTGGGATATGGGATGTGGGACACGGGATGTGGTGCATGGGACAGGATGCAGGACGTGGGACATGGGATGTGGGACACGGGAGATGCGGGACATGGTACATGGGATGCAGGACATGGGATGTGGGACGTGGTACGCGGGACATGGGACACGGGATGTGGGACATGAGACATGGGATGTGGGATGCAGAACATGGGGTGGACATGGGACACAGGATGTAGGACATGGGACATGGGATGTGGGATGCGGGACATGGGATGGATGCAGGACACGGGTTGTGGGACGTGGGACATGGGATGTGGTACATGGGACATGGGATGCAGGACACAGGATGTGGTACATGGGACGTGGGATGCAGGATGCAGGACATGGGATGTGGTACATGTGACACAGGATGCAGGACGTGGGACATGGGATGCGGGACATGGGACGTGGGATGCAGGACACGGGAGATGCAGGACATGGGATGTGGGATGTGGGACATGGGACATGGGACACAGGTTGTGGTACATGGGACATGGGATGAGGTGCATGGGACACAGGATGCAGGACGTGGGACATGGGATGTGGGATGCGGAACATGGGATGGACATAGGACACAGGACGCAGGACATGGGACGTGGGATGTGGGATGCAGGACATGGGATGAATGCAGGACGTGGGACGTGGGATATGGGACGTGGGATGCAGGACACAGGATGTGGTACATGGGACATGGGATGCAGGACATGGGATGTGGGATGCAGGACACGGGATGAATGCAGGACGTGGGGCGTGGGATATGGGACGTGGGATGCAGGACACGGGATGAATGCAGGACGTGGGGCGTGGGATATGGGACGTGGGATGCAGGACACGGGATGAATGCAGGACGTGGGGCGTGGGATATGGGACGTGGGATGCAGGACACGGGATGAATGCAGGACGTGGGGCGTGGGATATGGGACGTGGGATGCAGGACACGGGATGAATGCAGGACGTGGGGCGTGGGATATGGGACGTGGGATGCAGGACACGGGATGAATGCAGGACGTGGGGCGTGGGATATGGGACGTGGGATGCAGGACACGGGATGAATGCAGGACGTGGGGCGTGGGATATGGGACGTGGGATGCAGGACACGGGATGAATGCAGGACGTGGGGCGTGGGATATGGGACGTGGGATGCAGGACACGGGATGAATGCAGGACGTGGGGCGTGGGATATGGGACGTGGGATGCAGGACACGGGATGAATGCAGGACGTGGGGCGTGGGATATGGGACGTGGGATGCAGGACACGGGATGAATGCAGGACGTGGGGCGTGGGATATGGGACGTGGGATGCAGGACACAGGATGTGGTACATGGGACATGGGATGCAGGACACGGAATGCAGGGATGTGGGATGTGGGATGCGGAACATGGGATGGATGCAGGACACGGGACATAAGACACGGGATGCAGGACGTGGGACATGGGATGTGGAACATGGGGTGGACATGGGACACGGGATGTGGGACACGGGTTGTGGGACGTGGGATGCAGGACACGGGACATGGGATGCAGGACACAGGATGTGGTACATGGGACATGGGATGCAGGACACGGAATGCAGGGATGTGGGACATGGGATGCAGGACACGGGACATGGGATGCAGGACACAGGATGTGGTACATGGGACACGGGCTGCAGGATGCAGGACACGGGACGGGATGTGGGATGCAGGACTTGAGACACAGGACGTGGGACACAGGATGCAGGACGTGGGACACGGGATGTGGGATGCAGGACATGGGATGCAGGACATGGGACATGGTACACAGGACGTGGGATATGGGATGTGGGACATGGGATGTGGTGCGTGGGACACAGGATGCAGGACGTGGGACATGGGATGTGGGACACGGGATGCAGGACACAGGAGATGGGGGACATGGGATGTGGGACTTGGGACATGGGATGAGGTACATGGGATGCAGGACACAGGATGCAGGATGTGGGATGCGGGACATGGGATGCAGGACATGGGATGTGGTACATGGGACATGGGATGTGGTACACGGGATGTGGGACATGGGACACAGGATGCAGGACATGGGACATGGGATGCAGGACATGGGAGATGTGGTACATGGGACAGGGGATGTGGTACATGGGACACGGGATGCAGGACACGGGATGCAGCAGGTGGGATGTGGGATATGGGATGCAGGACACGGGATATGGGATGCAGGACACGGGGTGTGGGACATGGGATGAGGTACATGGGATGCAGGACACAGGACATGGGACATGGGATGTGGTACACGGGATGTGGGACACGAGACACAGGATGCAGGACATGGGACATGGGATGCAGGACATGGGAGATGTGGTACATGGGACACGAGATGTGGTACATGGGACACGGGATGCAGGACACGGGATGCAGGAGGTGGGATGTGGGATATGGGATGCAGGACACGGGATATGGGATGCAGGACACGGGATGTGGTACATGGGACATGGGATGAGGTACATGGGACATGGGATGCAGGACATGGGACGGGACGTGGGACACAGGATGTGGAATAAGAGACATGGAATGTGGTACATGGGATGCAGGACACGGGACATGGGATGCAGGACACAGGATGTGGTACATGGGACACGGGCTGCAGGATGCAGGACACGGGACGGGATGTGGGATGCAGGACTTGAGACACAGGACGTGGGACACAGGATGCAGGACGTGGGACACGGGATGTGGGATGCAGGACATGGGATGCAGGACATGGGACATGGTACACAGGACGTGGGATATGGGATGTGGGACATGGGATGTGGTGCGTGGGACACAGGATGCAGGACGTGGGACATGGGATGTGGGACACGGGATGCAGGACACAGGAGATGGGGGACATGGGATGTGGGACTTGGGACATGGGATGAGGTACATGGGATGCAGGACACAGGATGCAGGATGTGGGATGCGGGACATGGGATGCAGGACATGGGACATGGTACACAGTACGTGGGATATGGGATGTAGGACATGGGATGTTTTGCGTGGGACACAGGATGCAGGACGTGGGACGTGGCATGTGGGACACGGGATGCAGGACACAGGAGATGGGGGACATGGGATGTGGGACTTGGGACATGGGATGAGGTACATGGGATGCAGGACACAGGATGCAGGATGTGGGATGCGGGACATGGGATGCAGGACATGGGATGTGGTACATGGGACATGGGATGTGGTACACGGGATGTGGGACATGGGACACAGGATGCAGGACATGGGACATGGGATGCAGGACATGGGAGATGTGGTACATGGGACACGAGATGTGGTACATGGGACACGGGATGCAGGACACGGGATGCAGGAGGTGGGATGTGGGATATGGGATGCAGGACACGGGATATGGGATGCAGGACACGGGATGTGGTACATGGGACATGGGATGAGGTACATGGGATGCAGGATGTGGCACATGGGACATGGGATGCAGGACATGGGATGTGGTACACGGGATGCAGGACACAGGATATGGGACATGGGATGTGGTACATGGGATGCAGGACATGGGACATGGGATGCAGGAGGTGGGATGAGGGACACGGGACACGGGCTCGTGCGTGGCCCCTCAGGAGGCGAGGAGGAGGAGGAGGAGGAGGGAGGTGGTGGCGAGGTCTGAGGTGGGGGGGGGT